CTCACGCACGCACATACATTAGTTGGAAAACTAGCCTATTAAATGTTTATTATTATAAACTCTGGGGTTTTACCGGTAATACAGCTATTTAATTCAGAAGGCTTTTCATTATTATAATTTTGTCACATCATAAAAAATTGAAACACATAAATCTAAATAGGAATGCGCAACGATTTTTGATTTAGGAATATTTGTTGTGTCTATTTATGGCATTTCGCACATTGCGTGATGTATTTTTATTTTTCGATGTTCCTCATCTGGAATTACAAATTAGTCTCAAAAAGATTTCATTTAACATTTGCTCTTCTCTATTCATTAACATTCTCTGGTACTAATTTGTAATTCCGATGAGGGAACATCGAAAAATTAATCTCGAAAAATAAAAATACACCACGCCATGTGCGAAATGCTATAAATAGACACACGAATATTCCTAAATAAAGATAGTTTTTATTATCGATTTTATTTTTAAAACGATATGTGTATTTATTATTTTTACGTATATTATTATTATATTACGAAATAAGTCATAATACATCAGTATTTTTCAATACAAATTAAGCAACATATTAATATATATTGAGTCCTCACTTGACACGCCTCTGTGCATGGTGCAAGACAACGAAATAACGGCGAGTTCGCGCGGACATTGTATTGTTGAAAAACCAAATGACGACTTTGTCGACAAACATACATATATACATACGTACATACATATGAGCTCGCATACATATTGACACCAAATTGGTTCGAACGTGGCGGAGTTGACAAAATTTGTTTCTATCGACATTTTATGACAATGTCGTCGGCTATGTTTTCTCGTTTTCCTTTTACGTGGTTTGCTGTTGAAAGTTGACTTATGCACTCACGACCAGAGAACTTAGAAGAACGAGAAGGTGCAAGTTGAATTTTGTATGATGCTCGATTGGACGGCTACCAGAGCTGAAAAATTGAGATCAAGGAGTTCACCATTTTCTGAAATGAGAATTTATAACAACATTCTCTCACAAAATACGTATCTACCAACATAAAGAGAAAATTAAATACTTTGAACAAAAATACAAATGCCACTTCACATATGCATGATTATTTTTGCCATATAAACATTTGTATGATGAAAAATTGATAAAATATGATTTTTTTGCACAATTGCTACATTGATAAAATGTGAAAGAGTATGCAAAAATTATATTTTACTATTTTCATAATTTTCTAATTTGAATTGTTACAGAATTAATAATTTATGTATGTACATATGTATGTACATCAATATGTTATATCATATAATATCATAATATATATCACTTATCAATAAATACAGGTGCGCGCACTGCTCTACATGTAAGTTGTATGTACAAATATGCGTATGACATTGCAAAATAAGTAATGCATTCGCAAATCTACATATATATTGTACATACATATATATGAGTACAAATGTAAGTATATGAGCCAATAGAAAAAA